ACATGGATCCCAATTCCACAGGGCAGGGAATTCCATGGATCCCACTTCCACAGGGCAGGGAATTCCGACCGGTTTGGGGACATGGATCCAGGAATTCCATCCATTTTTGGGGACATGGATCCCACTTCCACAGGGAGAGAATTCCATGGATCCCACTTCCACAGGGCAGGGAATTCCGACCGGTTTGGGGACGTGGATCAGGAATTCCAGATGGATTTGAGGACATGGAACAGGGAATTCCAGATAATTTGGGGACGTGGATCAAGGAATTCCAGCCGGTTTTGGGGACATGGATCAAGGAATTCCCCAGGGCCAGGAATTCCACATCTCCCACTTCCCCAAAGCCAAGAATTCCACATATCCCACTTTTCCAGGCACTTTTCCGTGTGGGGCCTGGAGCAATTCCGGCGGGTGTGGCTGGTGAACGAGGAAGAGGCCAAGGAATTCATGCGGAAAGCTCTGGAAGCCGATCGGATCATCCACATCCAACAGCTGGGAATTCCTTGGGAAGAGCCGCTCCATTGGTTCCTGGAAAACGTGGGACCCTTGGGAGAGAAGCCGGAAAAAAGGACGGCCCTGCAGGCGGCCCGGGAAGCGCTGGAAGGTGGGAATTCCGGGAATGTTGCCGGGAATATTCCCGACATTTCCCTCCCTGGGAGTCCCCCCGGGATGTTTCCGGGCTTGTTATTCCAAGGTGGAATCTCCCAGGAATCCCCAATTCCAAGAAAACTGGCCATGGATTTTTTGGGTTGTTTTCCATGGATTTCTTGGGATTTTCCTGGTGATTCCAGGGAGAACATTCCAAGGATTTCTGGAGTGTTTTCCAGGGATTTTCCTGGTTTCCAGTGTTTCTGGGATTTTCCTGGTAATTCTAAGGAGAACATTCCAAGGATTTTTGGATTTGTTTTCCAGGGAATTTCCTGCTGATTTTCGGGAGAACATTCCAAGGATTTTTGGGTTGTTTTCCAGGGATCATCTGGGATTTTCTATGGATTTGTTGGGATTTTCCTGCTGATTTTAGGGAGAACATTCCAAGGATTTTTGGATTTGTTTTCCTGCTGATTCCAGGGAGAACATTCCAAGGATTTTTGGGTTTGTTTTCCAGGGATTTTCCTGAGGATTTTAGGGAGAACATTCCAAGCCCAAAGGCCTGGCCATTCCCATTGGGAATCTTCCAGGAATCCTCAATTCCAACAAAAATGGCCAAGGATTTTTGGATTGTTTTCCAGGGATCATCTGGAATTTTCCTGAGGATTCCAGGGAGAACATTCCAAGGATTTTTGGATTTGTTTTCCATGGATTTGTTGGGATTTTCCTGATGATTTTAGGGAGCACGAAGGCCTTGTCATTCCCATTGGGAATCTCCCTGGAATTCCCAGCCCTGCCCTGGCTCATCCTGACCCTTTTGGGATCTTCCCACGGGATTTTCCCAGTGTTCCGAATTTCAGGAAAAGATTCCAAGGATTTTTGGGGTGTTTTCCAGGGATCATCTGGGATTTTCCATGGATTTTTTGGGATTTTCCTGAAGATTCCAAAGATTTTTGGATTTGTTTTCCAGGGATCATATGGGATTTTCCTGAGGATTTTAGGGAGAACATTCCAAGGATTTTTGGATTTGTTTTCCAGGGATTTTCCTGCTGATTTTAGGGAGAACATTCCAAGGATTTTTGGATTTGTTTCCCATGGATTTATAGGGATTTTCCTGCTGATTTTAGGGAGAACATTCCAAGTATTTTTGGATTTATTTCCCATGGATCCCTTGGAATTTTCCTGCTGATTTCCAGGCATCACAAAGACTTTTCCTTCCCTTTCTCTCTCCACATTCCAGAGGAAAACTCCGGAAAACCTCCCAAGGACGGGAAAAGCCGGAAAAAGAAAACCTTGGGAAGCGGAAAAGAAGGAAAAGGGATTCCCAGAAAACCCGGACGTGGCTCCAGACCCTTGGGAAACGTTCCCAAGGAAACCATCCGACGGATCCTGGAGCTGCTCCGGGACGAGTCGGTGAGCGACGGGATTTGTGGGATGATCCCAATTTTTCCCGGATTTCCTCGGGATAAAGGAGGGAGAAGCTGATTCCCAACTCCGCCCCCTTTTCCCGACCTTTTTCCCAAGGGATTCCTGACGGAGAAGGAGCTGCTGAAGCCGCTGCAGGAGCTGGAGGGGCCCCAGGACACCCTTGGGAAGATCCAATCCCTCTTCCAGGTGGGATTTGGGAAGGGAATGAGGGAAGGGAAGGAGGGAAAAGATGGGATTTAAGGTTCATTCCCAATCAAACCATTCCAGGAGATTCCCTTCCCTGGGAATTCCCTTCCCTTCCCTTCCCAAACCTTCCCAAACCTTCCCAAACCTTCCCAAACCTTCCCTTCCCTTCCCAAACCTTCCCTTCCCTTCCCTTCCCAAACCTTCCCTTCCCAAACCTTCCCAAACCTTCCCTTCCCTTCCCAACCATCCCAAATCCCTCATTCCATGGGAATTCCCTCTTCCCAGGCCCTCCGGATCGAGGACGAGGACGACCTTTTCCAACTGGTGGATTCCTTCCTCAAACACAAATCCCGGGAAACACCAGAGAAGATCCAGGTGGGAATCTCCAGGAATCACAGATCCGAGGGCCGGGAATTCTTCTCCATCCCAAAATTCCTCCCAAGGAAATGGGAGGAACCTCCCAGGGTTGAGGGGTTGGAATCTCCCAAGGAAAACCGGGAAAAGCACCTGGAATTCTGCCTCGGCTCCCGACGTTTTCCACGGGATCTGGGAGATTCCCAGTGGGAAAATTCCGTGTCCTGTTTTCCAGGGAAGTGCCGGGGGGGATCTCCCGGATCCGATCAAGGAGGGAGGAGCCGCTTCCCGGATAATTGAGCTCCGATGCTCCCGGAATTCCCAGAGCTCCGTGCACGTCCACGTGGATGACGTCATGAAGATCCTGAAGGAATTCCTGAGGAATTTCGACAGGCTGAGGTGGGAATTCTTCATTCCCAAGGGTTTGTTCTCCATCCCAAGGGTTTGTTCTCCATTCCCAAGGGTTTGTTTTTCATTCCCAAGGATTTCTTCTCCATCCCAAGGGTTTGTTCTCCATTCCCAAGGATTTTTTCTCCATTCCCAATTGTTTGTTCCCAGGGATTTGTTCTCTATTCCCAAGGGTTTGTTCTCCATTCCCAATGGTTTGTTCCCAGGGATTTGTTCTCCATCCCAGGGATTTGTTCCCCATTCCCAAGGATTTGTTCTCCGTCCCAAGGGTTTCTCCCCATCCCAAACATTTTTCCTCCATCCCAAACTTTTTCCTCCATCCCAAGAGTTCTCCATTTCCAAGACTTTGTTCCCAGGGATTTGTTCTCCATCCCAAGGGTTTGTTGTTCGTTCCCAGGGATTTGTTCTCCATCCCAAGGGTTTTTCCTCCATCCCAAGGGTTTGTTCCCCATTCCCAAGGGTTTTTTTCCCAGGGATTTGTTCTCCAT